GTCATCAATAGCCACTCAATTGTCTTGGGTAATATATAGTAGTCAAGATCTATGAAGCTGTTTGTAAAACAAATGTTTATCAATTATTCAATAATTATATAGGCAGGTTTGATTGAAGTAGGGTTAAAGACAATTTATACATTTTATTTATTATTTATTTATACATAAAACAATAATTAATAAATATAAAGTCAGAAATATAAAATAATCACTAATAAAATACCTTTTATTTTTTGCTGAATCCCATCATAAAATTCTTCATGACTATTAAATTTCTATAAAATAGTTTTTCATGAACCTCTAAAACTTATTAACCAATACTCCCCATAAAGTAATGACCATGTGGTCATCAATGACCACTTGTGGTCTTGGGTAAATATATCCATCTATCTGATACCATGTGGTCATCAATGACCACTTGTGGTTAGTTGAATTGGGAGTATATTTATTTATTGAGAATGGTGAAAATTTTGGACATCCTTCTCCAAGGAAAATCCCTAACTCAAATATCATGTCAATTGGTGAACTATTAAAGGAATATTTCAAAAACAGAAACAATAATCAGTGAAGAATAATAAACAGGAATAATGGAAAGATCAACCTAGTTGTGTAATGAGTAAGCAAACCTGAAATTTTGACATTATTTCAAAAATATGATAGAAAAATCATTCAGCTGGTTTCAATGGAACACAACAAAGTACACAGACTGAGAAATCAAAAGAACCAATTGACTCACTACTCAGATAAGCCACTGGTGACAAAACATGTTACCAGTCAAACCAGTTGTAACTTGACAAATTTTATGAGATTATATAATGTTTGGTAGAATCCCTAAGAATCTTGTAAAGGAATGCCAAGAGACCCTGATACACTACAACCAAAGGAATATAATGACCCACCTTTTGACCTTTGGCCCAATCAATACTAAAGATGGGAACTGCAATTGGCTGCAATTCAATTTTCATATGCCACAACTGCAATTGCAACTAGTCACAGACAGTGTTGTGACCAGAAACTCTCTTGGCTTCCCGAAACGTTTCGGAAAATGAACTTACACTAAGCAGAAAACTAAACCTAAAACTAAACCTAAGCATAAACTACTAACCTAAACTAGTTTCTGGTGGTTTCTGTTAGTTCTGTTTTGGGTCTTCCCTAAACTCAGAGTTTCGGGTCACAACACTGGTCACAGAGCCATCTTTAATTAATACATCATCCTTGTAATGTCAATTTTGAAAAGTAATAAATAAAAGCATATTCAAAAACACAATTAAACTTCTCTGATGCTTTTACTGTAACTATTCCAAAAACATTTGATCTTACCTCAACTAAATTTTATTAAAGTTCCTTTGGGGATGCCCAAAGAAATTCTTTATTCTATATTGGATATCCTTTAAATTATTTGCATCATTAAAATAGATTTGCAAATATTAAAATTCAGCCATAATATTTGTCCAATAAAATGTGGTTTTGTTTTAGAGGGAATATGAATATAGATGCAGCCCAAAGTGTTTTGTTGACAACAGTGTCAAAAATAGATATGAATCATTTATCCTGTTGTGTATGTGTTATATTCATTTGTCATGTTAAATTTGTTGTCCTTCATAGGACATGTCTACCCTGTAAAATAACCAATCTGCAATTTAAAATTCCATGTTTACTCCAGAAATGTATCATATTCATAGAAAAATTACCAAAAGATTACAAGGGAAAGATGGACTTTGCCATTGTTGTAAATTTGTGGAAAGTGTTTCTGGAATTAAAATTCAAATAACAGACTATTTTTTTTATAGGGCTAATTAGCCATTTGTAAATAAATTTGTTTTGACTCACTATGAAGACCAGATCAATAATTAAAATCCAAGTGGTCATTGATGACCACATGGCCCTGGATAGTTGGATATATTGTCCTAAGAAATAAATCAGCCAACTACACATGGTCCCAGTATATTTTTCTATGATAATCAATTGATGACAAGCAGACATTGATAGTCACATAGTTTTGGATGGTTTGACTTGTGGTTAATTGATTGTCTTTGGAAAATATATCCATCCATGTGGTAATCAATGACTACTTGTGGTTTGCTGATTGTCTTAGGACAATTGAACTGTCCAAGATCACTCACTGATGCTTGTGGTTAATCAGTTGCCTTTGGCACTATACCCATCATGGGTCATGCAGTCATCAATAACCATTTATGGCTATTTTATTGTCTTAAGACTAAGATTGCCTGCCAAAACTTCTTAGTGATTGTTAAAACTCTGCCAAAACTCTAATAAACAATTAGTATGTACCTTGCCAATATTCTGCCAATTGCCAAAATTCCTAAATGTGAAACTCTGCTGAAACTCTAATAAACAATTAATGTGTAACCTTTCAAAACTCTGCCAATTGATTTCTAGAGGAGTTTTGTCAAGCAACCATACCTATGACTAAGGTTTTTAATCCAGACTATTTCTGAAAAAAGTAGCATTGGCAATATTTTGAGCTCAATATTTTTTATAAGATTGAACATGAAGAAATTTTATAAATAATTTTTGCCAATTTCGGCTATTAATAAAGAAAGAGTATATGGACAGACACTCATTATGGTATAATTATTGCAGATACTGAATCTCTCACTACCATAAAAATAGTTGGGCCTATAAAAATTAATTTTGCCCAAAATGTTTCAGCAACTTCAGCTACATACTTGAGACAATATATCCATCCAAGACCATGCGGTCATCAATGACCATTTGTAATTAATTGGATTATCATTCAAAATTTGATTTGTATTACCCAAGAATTGCCCCAGTAGATATCCATGGATATTAGTGTTGGTTTCCAAAATTAGAGAGTTTCGCAACTATGCGAAAGTCAAAAGGTTTCGCCATAAGTCGAAACTAG